ATATATATATATATATATATATATATATATATATATATATATATATATATCCTATTACACAGCTGTAATATATATTAAACTCCCATATAAATATATGTGTATATATGGGAGTTTATAATAAGGAGTATTAACTCACATGATCACAAAGTCCCACAATAGGTCATCTGCAAGCTGAGGATCAAGGAAGTCAGTCCAAATCCCAAAGCTGAAGAACTTGGAGTCCAATGTTTGAGGGCAGGAAGTATCCAGCACAAGAGAAAGATGAAGGCTGGGACGCTAAGCTAGTCTAGCCTTTTCACTTTCTTCAGCATGCTTTTTATTCTGGCCACACTGGCAGCTGATTAGATGGTACCCACCCAGATTATGGGTGGGTCTGTTGTTTTTAGCCCACTAACTCAAATGTTAAACCCTTTTGACAGCACCCTTACAGACACAGGATCAATACTTGGCAGCTTTCAGTCAAGTTGACATTCAGTACTAAACATAACAAGTCCACACTTTGTCAACTTGAAACCATACACACCTCCTGAGATCATACTTAATCTTCAAATAAAGACAATAATAAAGTCATAATTCCTAACATGGAGCAACTATCCTTTATACAAGAAATGCACCAATCCCCAATCCAAATGCTATTACATAAAATTAACAATACTTAAATGCTGATTTGAAGTCAATAAATCTTATGTCACATGATAATGGAAAAAGAAAATAAAATGAAGATAGTTTCTTAGTACAAGTATATATATCTACAAACATGTTTTTAACAAAAGAAAGAGGAAATACTCAAGACAATTACAATCCTCATTTCTGCAACTGGTGACGTGATCTTAGCTGGTAGTGATGAATACTTTGTTCTACTACCCATTCTGCATTCCTTTTGCTTTCAGCAAGCACCTCAGCAGTTTGTGTTTTCTCTTTTTTTTTTTTTTTTGTTCCTGGTGGGGTGACCCAAACCTTCATTCCTGAAGAGTCTGGGTCATTTATTGTCCTGCCTGGATTGGGCTGTTGTAGTTTCCCATTGACCTTAATCACAGGCACAGTAATACTAAGAGACACCAAGGGACCTCCTTTATTCCACACATACTCTTCCTTACTGCCCTTTTGGAGTAGTAGACTGATTTCATCTTGATAGTCTGGGTCAGCCATTCCAGCCAACACTGTAACTCCCTTCTTAGCCTGTTGGCTTAAAGGTAGGAGGAGCCCAAAGTGTCCAGTTGGCAATCTTAACTTCCGGTTGAGTGGAATTGTTGTGTCTCCTGGTGGCAGTGTTCCTCCCTCTGGAACTAAGACCTCTAGGCCAGCAGAATGTAATGTCACAGAAACAGAAGCAAAAATGTTGCTAGTGGGTCACTAGGGGTGATGGTGAGTGGTGCCACTTCCACTTCCACCTCTTAATTCCTGGACCCATGAATCCTGGTTATGGGAGAAACAGCACTGTATATTGGATGCTGATTCAGAGCATGCACGACATTCTGGAGAACTCTGCTCCAGCAATACAAAGTATGGTCACCTAGTTGGCATTGTAATTGGAACTTCAACAGGCCATTCCACCATTCTATGAACCAGCTTTTTCAAGATGATGGGGAACATGGTAAGACAAGTGAATTCCATGAGCAAGAGCCCACTGCTACACTTCTTTAGCCATAAAGTGAGTGCCTTGGTAGAGGCAATGCTGTGTGGAATACCATGACAGTGGATAAGGCATTTTGTGAGTCCACAGATGGTAGTCCTGGCAGAAGCACTGTGTGCAGGATAGGCAAACCCACATCTGGAGTAAATGTCTATTGCAGTGAGGACAAACCTCTGCCCTCTCCATGATGGAAGAGGTCCAACATAATCAACCTGCAACCAAGTAGCAGACTGATCATCCCAAGGAATGGTACCATATTGAGGGCTTAGTGTTGAAATTTGCCACAGGCAAATTGGGCACTCAGCAGTGACTGTAGCCAAGTCAGTCTTGGTAACTGGAAGTCCATGTTGCTGAGCCTAACCTCCATCCCTACCATCATGGCCATTTTGTTCATGGGTCCATTGGGTGACGACAGAGGAGGCTGAGGAAAGAGGCTGTATGGTGTCCACAGAATGGGTCATCTTATCCACTTGATTATTAAAATTCTCCTCTCCTGAGGTCACCCTTTTGTGATCATTCACATGGGATACAAACATCTTTACACTTTTTGACCACCAGAGAGGTCCATCCAAATATCTCTTTCCCACATTTGTCACCAATTTTCCAATCATGCTTATTCCAAGTTCCTGACCATTTAGCCAAACTATTGGCTACAGCCCATGAATCAGTATATAATCGCACATCTGATCATTTCTCCTTCCATGCAATGTGCACAACCAGGTTCACTACTCTAAGATCTGCCCATGGGAAAAATTTCCCTTCACCACAGTCCTTCAGGGATGTCCTAGAAAGGAGCTATAGTGCTGCCGCTGTCCACTTTCAGGTGGTGCCTGCCTATCATGCAGAACCCTCTGTGAACCAGGCCCTAGTTTTCTCTTATTCTGTCATCTGATCATAGGAAACTCCAATGAAGCCATTGGTGCAGGCTGGGAGAGAGAAGGCAAGGTGGCAGGAGTGGAGACCATGGGCATTTGAGCCACTTCCTAATGTAACTTACTTGTGCCTTCAGGACCTGCTTGAGCCTGATCATGTATATACCACTTCCATTTGATGATGGTATGCTTCTGTGCATGACCCACTTTATGGGTTAGAAAGCACACCATTCATGATAGGCAGTTCAGGTTGCATGATGACATGATGCCCATAGTCAAACATTCAGTTTCCGCCAAAGCCCAGTAACAGGCCAAGAGCTATCTCTCAAAAGAGAGTGTTTATCTGCAGAAGATGGCAGGACCTTGCTCCAAAATCCCAGAGGCCTCTGCTGTGATTCACCTATGGGGGGTCTGCCAAAGGCTCCAAACAGCATCCCTATGTGCCACTGACACCCCAAGTACCATTGGATCTTGTAGGTCTTATGGCTCAAGTGGCAGAGCAGCTAGCATAACAGCCTGGACCTGTTCCAGAGCCTTCTCCCAGTCTGGACCCCACTCAAAACTGGCAGCCTGTCAGGTCACTTGATAAATGGACAGGAGTAACACATCCAAATGAGGAACGTGTTGCCTCCAAAATCTAAATAAGCCCACTAGATAGGCATATTGCCTTTCTTTGTTGTAGGAGGGGCCAAATGCAGCAACTTATCATTTACTGTAGAAGGAATATCTCAATAGGCCCCACACCACTGGACCCCTAGAAATTACACTGAGGTAGAAGGTCCCTGAATTTTAGTCAGATTTACTTCCCATCCTCTGGCACACAAATGTATCACCAATAAGTCCAGTGTGTTTGCTACTGCTTGCTCACTGTATCCAATCAACATAATGTCATCAATGTAATAGACCAGTGTGATAGCTTGTGGAGGCAAAAGTGATCAAGTTCTCTTCAAATAAGATTATGACACAAAACCAGAGGGTTTATACATCTCTGAAGTAGGACAGTAAAGGTGTACTGCTGGCCTTGCCAGCTGAAGGCAAATTACTTCAGGTGGGCCTTATGGACAGGAATGGAGAAAAAGGCATTTGCCAAATCAATGGCTGCATACTAGGTACAAGATGTGTTTATTCGCTCAAGCAATGAAACCACATCTGGTACAGTAGTTGCAACTGGAATAATCACTTGGTTAAGCTTATGATAATCCACTATCAATCTGCAAGATCCATCTATCTTCTGCACAGGTCAAATGGGGGAGTTGAATGGAGATGTGGTAGGAATCACCACCCGTGAGTCTTTCAAATGCTTGATGGTGGCACTAATTTCCACACTCCCTGTGACTGTTCTCAAGATTTCTGCTTATATAAATTAGAAAACTCAAGCAGCTCTTTTCGAGTGTAGTGTACCTCCTCATGGATCGTACGTACTCTGAACCTCACCTCTAGGGCCTCATCAGACTTTAGTGAGTTATAGGTCTAGAAGCAAACAGGTGTGTTGGGGATGGATCCTGAGAACTGACATTATCTTGCCTGGAAACTACCTGAGAGGAAGGCATCACTGTTGCCTCAGGCAGCACAGGTTTACCTCCTGAGACAAAGGTAGAACGGCTGATAGTAACATGGGTTGGGGAGGGGATGTAGCCACCACTGGGGCAGAAGTTGTTACTTCTGGCAAGAGAAAAACGTTCATCAGAGTTTACAAGTGCAGTGTCCCCAGCTTCATCAAAGTCCTCCCACACATCATCATTCCAAGTTGCAAGGTCCCATTCTTTTCCAATCGATGCCCTCACTTTAGCAATAGACACCTGGCGAGTCTGTGCATGAACCTTTTGTTGTAGGTTAGCCACTCACATGATAAGAGCTTGTGTCTGATTTTCCACAATTTCAGCTCTTTCTCTACAGAAGATAAGACTCCCATTTTGTAGGTTGCCTCTTTTTATGGCTGAGTAGTATTCCATGGAGTGTGTGAATAAAACTAGGCCCCTATCTCTTGCTGTATACAAAGATCAAATCCAAATAGTTTAAGGAC